GCATCCAAGAGAGCTATGCTTGTTTGCAGGATTTTTGAGCTGCAAGAACTTCATACGTAGCGTTTCATTCATTCTTTTTTTTTTTAAAGATGGGACGACGATGGGCTGGGTTATTTCTGTGGAAGTATGGAACTTGTGGGACTGGGCTTGGGCCTAATTTATAACGAAAACAATTTCTTTGTTTTTTTATAAGACGTTATGAAATTTTAAATATTAAGGTTTTTTTTTTAAATTAATTAAATATTTTTTTAATAAATTTTTTATATTAATTTATTTAAAATATTTTAATCTTTTTATTATTATTCTTAATATTCTAATTGTTAAAAGGACTTGATTATTTTCAATTCCTTTTTATAATAAAACAAAATTCAATAATTATAATCATTTATGAGAAATTAACATAATTCAAAGGGTTTGCTGGGTTTTAAATTATTTATTTTTTTATAGGCTTTACAAGGTCATAATATCTTATCCTAATATGTGAATTTTTTTGTCTAATTAAATTAATACGTTTTGCTCTATTTACCACATGTTATATATTCATACAAATGTAGAGATTTTTCAAGCCAAATTTTTTTCAAAATCTTGAACTATGTCTTTTAAGAATGTAAAGCTAAAACTAGATTGAAAACAACCTGGAGTTTCACATCAAACTTGATTGATCCTAGATATTGTCCTTCACTCATTTTATGTATCAATCATCACTCCTCAACGCATATAATAATGATGTAAGTCCAATTTAGTTGAGTTCCGTGTTTGAATACGTCACCAAGGACCTTTGATGAGTTATGGCCCTCCAATGACCTAATTGATGGAAAGACTCCCTCGGCTCAAGGGTTGGTATGGCCTTGTGATTTACCACCAACCCCTGATTGCCCCTTTGAAAATATCTTACAAAGGAACATTACCTTCATTTCTCCTCTTCTTCTTTGTCTTACCCTTAGGGACATGCATGCCTCCACTTCTAAGATCTTATTCTTCATTTACCCCTTAATTGAGTTCATTTACAAAACAAAAGGTACATGAACTACATAAAAGAAAAGTAATCATATCACACATCTGACCTTATAAGTCGATTGATAACAATGTATATCATTTAATTTTATGAGTTGGATTCAATCTTCCCTCCCCAAAAATTACCTTTGATAAAAAAAAAAAGAAGTAACCATATTGAATACTGGCCTGTCTTAATTTTTAAAAATGTTTTATTAATCATTTATAATTAAGTGTGGTAAAAAAAAGAGTTTATTTTCTTTTACAATTAACTTATAAACCAACTAATTATAGACTTTTTTTTTGATATTCATAAAGAAGAAAGAGATTAACAATTAAATACAAGTACTCCCCATTTTAATTGATGCAATTAGTTGAAATAATGTTTCTTCACAACATACCCAAAATCTAGATTTTGCCTTGAAGAAAAAGAGAGAAAAAAAACGTTCTACACATTGCTTGTGCAAATTGGTTTTGTAATCTAGAAAAGAGGATTTTTTTTTTTTTTTTTTGTTTAAGGGACCCATTCATGTCTAAGTCTGGTGGCACCCATCATTGATTCCTTGTAGTTTTTCGATTCACTTCCCTTGATTTCCCAACACGTGTGTGTCCCACAAGCATCATAGTTTGGCACAGAAATTGGAAAATTGTTTCACCAAAAAAAAAAAAAATTGGAAAATTGTCGCAATCAAAAGGAAAAGAAAAACCCATACCTAATCATACTTGGTTGAGGTGTCTAACAGGTTTATTTTTATAAAATCCTTATTTAAGATCTGTTCATGTATATCATATATTTATTCTTTGATATATCTATTCTTTTTCATTCTGATTTAATCATTGCAGTTTGGTCATGGCCTTTTCAAAATCCTAACCAACTGCGGTGACCCATCTAGCAAACAGATTGGTTAGTTTATTCAATTTGGTTAGGGTATGGCGGTGCTAGGTGTCCATTTTTAGGCCTCAAATTCACCAAATTGTCTCTTCAAATCAAATCAAAATATTTTATACATTTATAAAAGATATTTTTGTTTTACCATTTAAACCCCATTGTACTATTTTACCTTTCACCCATGTGGCGATTGTGATTATATTTTTCATTGATAAATAGATAAAGACACTTAGTTTTTCAAGTTGAGTTTTTGATTCGGTATTTTTTTATTTTTTTGGTGCATAAATGTTAATAATATCAATATAATTTTTATTTTTTTTAAAAAAAAAACCCTTTATCATACTATTTTAAAACCGGTCCGGTGATTTAGTAGTGATTAATGCTTTGTAAACATTTTTTTATGTTAGCTTAAGATGTGTTGTTTGATGCCCGCTACCAACATTAAAAAAAAAAAAAAAACTGTATCATACTGTTTCAATTATTTAGATAATTAAATAATATTTTTTTATAAAAATAAAAAATTATAAATTTAAATTGTATAATATATTAATAAAATAAATTAAAATATAAACACGAATTATTTCTTAATATATCATTCAAAATCCTCAAAAAAAAAAAAAACATCACATTATAAAACACAAATAAGTAAATAAAATGGCACTCACAGCTTAAACTGTTTTGGTTCAGATGCATTTAACTCTTAATTTCGATTAGAATTCAAACTGCAATAACAACTCTTTATTCCTCATTCTTTCAAATTTCCCCCAGTTAAAAAAATAATAATAATGAGTAAATAAAATGATAATTTTTAATATTAAAATATTCTTCTTTTATTTAATAATTTAAATTATATAATTTATTATATCATATTTTTACATACAATGGGGGGAGAGTCTTTTCTCATCCCAACCCTTTTCTAGTCTTATTGATCCTGAAAATCCAGCATCATATATAACTTTCAATTTTGAGGTTGGTCTTCAAGAACTACAAGATTTTTCTTATAGACAACAAGGGACCATCAACACTTGAATACCTAAAAGCAGTTATGAAACAACCATCATTAATTGCTAGCTTTTGTGTAAGAGAAATCCCGAGTGAAGTCGCAGCTAATTAATTCTAACCGTTGTGATGATTTTATAACGCCTTCATTAATATATTTTACGCATCTCTCTAACAAACTCCTCTTGATTTATACTAACAAAACAGAACTTCCATTAATGGGGTTACGTACATTTGCCACTTTTCTTATACTTTACAATACATGAGAAGAACATTAGTTTCACTAGAAGTAATATGAATTTTCTTGGGTTTTCTCTAAGTTTTTCATGGTTTATTTCCTTGTGTTTTTGTTACTAACTTTGTATTCCATATAAAAAGATGATGAATTTAGACTTTTCCATATGTGATGGTGATGGTTTTTGAACCAACTCTGCTTCAAAAGGCATTATTCTTTTTACTTACTAGCCAAAGAAATGATGACAAAAGAGAAAGAATTCATTTTTATGTATAAAAAACGGGGAATACCCCTATGTTGGATGCAGTGGTGGGTGCATCTAATAATCACATCTATAAATGGAAGAGGAAAATAATGTACATGTATAGGTGGATTGGAGATGAAGATTTAACCCCACAACAGCCCAAGTTACCAAATGCCATTTCTTGTTATCTTTTACTTTTTAGTTGGAAGGGAAAAGGGAAAGGTACAGTTAGATATTGATGAGGAAAACAAGAAAAATCAGAGAAAAGGAGGGACTTATGAGTCATTAGAGTTGGGTGTGATGACAGCTTTTGTTTTATATTATTATTATTCCAAAAGGCATTGGATCACTTGATTTGGATCTACCGATTAAAAGTAAAGCAATTTCGTAATTTTTGCTATACGATTAGTGCCCTTTGATTATTCCCATTAACAAGCAGTTTCTTTTGACAAGGGTT